TATACCACCGTGCACCACTTTGGCCCCTGGGTTTAAATTTAAAACCTGTTTTGATTGAACTCTTCCAACCTTTTGTTTTGCTATAACAACATTTTTGCATGACTGCTTCTGAACCACCGCTTACCATCTTCCTCCCCCTCACATCTCTGTTGGTCAGTGTTGTTCTGACCCGTGTGACAGCAACCTCGCCGAGCTGCAGGATGGATCCAGTTTACGATCACTGGAGGTCACCGTGATTTATTTTGTTTAAGCATCATGACTGAACATGAAAACAACAGCAGAATGAGCTGACAATTTTCAGATGCAAACAATTAGAAATGAGAGAAAAAAAACAGATGTTCTGAAGAAACCTGAAGATCTCTGAAAGACAAAAAAAGCCTTCCTTTGAATCCTGCAGCTGTCAAACATGCTCAAACATGTTCAGGCCGTGAATCTTCTCAGTATGTTTAACTCATCATGTCTCTTATCAGTAACACAATGTTTCTGTATATTTCTGCTAGACTGACAGAATTTAGCAACATGTTTGAGCTTACTGTTTTCTAACATTTAAAGTGCATTCTGCCGTTAAACCAGGAGATTGAACCTGAAATACCTGTGACAGAAACCCACGATAAAGAAGGTTTACCCTGTTCTTCAGGGCAAGAGATGTTTGTTAGGAAGAATACGTGAATATTTGTCACCGACTTAAACTTGTATATATATATATATATATATATATATATATATATATATATATACTCAACTCCTCCACCACTCAAGTTGGAAAAAGTATCTCTACCTAAGAGTTTGAAAATAGTTTTATGCCTATTGTATGATATATACATGCCTGGTACAGTTATTCCAAATTATAATTTAAACTTTTTTGTGCTATAACCAATTTAGCAACAGTTTCAAGTCTTAATTCAAATTCAAATGCTTTAAAAAAAACGTGTAAAAGAAACATTTAAATTCAAGCATTTTCATGTAATTCATGTAACAACCCAATTTAGACTAAAACACATGCAGATTCACATGAATTAATCTAAATAATGCCCCATTTTGTGATGAGCTGAGCTGTTATGGTAGTGTGGTGGATATAAAAGCAGCAGTGCTAAGAAGAAAGCATTAAAAGGTCTACCTGGAACCTTCTCCACATGTGGTAATAAGAACATTTGTATAACTCATTAAGCTGCTATTTTCAATAATTACCATAAGAAGTAGATGGTAACACACAGCCTTGAATATCATCACTGTTGGATTCTTAGTTCCTCTTTAAAGAAAAAAACTGTTGCAGACATGTGAGGAAGGTTTAACGGGGATGTGTTTGTGCACGTGTGTGTAACTTAGCGTACCTGACTGTGAATCGAGAAAAGCATGGTGAGTCATCATCGCCACGGCATTAAGCCTCCCGTTCACGGGGGAACAGGGTTACCACCTCTACACCATTGGGGATTTTTATTTTTACATTTGAAAAGCAAACCAGAGCTGGGCTCACAACAATCCTCCTCTCTCTCTCTCTCTCTCTCTCTCTCTCT